GGAGGGGGCTGGGCTCTAAGTAGCTGGACCCTGGGAACTCCGCGTTGGGGGGGGAGGGGCCTGGGCTCCGAGTAGCTCGACCCTGGGAACCCCGCGTTGGGGGCGGAGGGGGCTGGGCTCTAAGTAGCTGGACCCTGGGAACTCCGCGTTGGGGGGGGAGGGGCCTGGGCTCCGAGTAGCTCGACCCTGGGAACCCCGCGGTGGGGTCAATGCTCCCGTGCACAAGGGGGTTGTCCAATCACACGAGGTCCTAGTGCCCGGCCCCCAGATTTAGCCAATCGGGGGGATCTTTTCCACACCCGATAATGGGGCGAGGGACTCAGCGGGAGGCGGACTGCTCCTCCGCCAAGCACTGGCCCTGTCACCTACGGTTTGTCCCTTTCTCGAGCCTCAGTTTTCTCTTCTGTGAGCCGGGCAGGTAATGTCCACCTCACTGGGCTGTGCTGGCCGGTACCGCACCCCGCCCGCCTGCGGGGAGCGCAGGCCCGGCACCGCGGTCCTCCGGCCCGACGCCCCCTAGCGGGGCTGGAGGCTCGGCTTCCGCAGCGGGAATCGCGGACCGACCCCAGGCCCGGCGCCCCGGCAGCGAGGCTCGCGCGCCCACCAGGAGCCACCGGCGAGGCGCTTGAGCCCGGAGTCCCCGGAGCCCCGAGCTGGGCAGCCTCCCTCCCTCCCGCGGAGCGTCGGGCTCGGGGACACTCACCAAAGGCGGAGGAGGCGCAGGAGTCGCGGGCCAGAAGGGACCTCTGCAAGCCTCGGCCGGGGTGAAGGGGCTGGTCCGGGCCCGCCCAGGGCTGCGGAGAGGTGGGACCCGCCCCCGCCGGCGCCGGAGCCTCCCGGAGGCCGGAGCCAGGGAAGGGAGGGGCGCGGGCGGAGGCGAGGGGGCGGGGGCGCCGCGCGGGCCTAAAGTCACCCTGGGAATGGGTGGGGAGGACTTGCACTGGCTGTGGGACAGGGGCCATGGTGTGCCACTCGCCCTCTCTGGGCTTGCCTGCATTTTTAGGCGAGAAGACTTGCTAGGGACTCTGAAAAGGCGCGGGCTCCCCCTGCTTGGAAATGGTTGCAGGCTGAGCTGGTAGAAGGAAACTCACCACCAGGTCATTTCACTCACTCACTCACTCACTCACCCAAGAATAATATGCCACGTTCCTACCGTGTGCCATCGACCACCCGGGCAGAGCCAAAGAAGATCCTTGCCCCCTGCGAACTTGCAGTCACCAGCAAGGGACAGTGACAATGACAGTGTGTCCGGGTGAATGCTGGCGTTCCTGCCTGCGCCCTTACTGCCCTCAAAAGCCCCAGGCTGCCCTCTCAGCAGGGCCTCTTCTCCTCGCTCCCTTCCACCCCTAGCGCCCTACCTGACCGAGTGTGTCTCAGGCAGGATTATCTGTCCCACGCGGGGCCGAAGTGGGTCAGAGGAAGATAAGAATACAGAGGAAGAGAAGTCTGCCCATTGTTTCCTGACTGTGAGCCTATGTCCAGTGGCTCATGTACAGATCACCAAGATGTCCTTCCTGCCACACCTGCTGCTGGACTCTGCCCTAGCCTCACTTCTGAGGCCCTCTCTACCCGAGCTCCAGCTACCCCGGGACCTCTACTCAGGGCCTGAACACCTCAAGCGGGCTCCAGTCTCAGGGCCTTCATAGCAGCCTCTGCCAGAATATTCCTCTCTCAACCACTACAGAAGCACACCCCCTCTTCCCTTCACATGGTACCTGACACATCCAATATCTGAGGCAGAGCCTTAGAGAAGCCTTCGCAAGTCACACAACCTAAAGAAGTCTCTCAGCCAGTCCCTATCACTTCACCCTGTTTTATTTCCTGCACAGCCCTTACTGCACATGTGACATGTTCTAGTTCATTATTTGGTTGTTAATCTGTCTCTCCTGCTACGATCTTTGAGGGCAGGAAACGTGTGATGTATTCACTGTTGTGTCCCCAGTACACAATGCTAGCACACAGTAGGTGTTAAATGTTTGTCCAATGGCTTAATGCCCACCTGCCGGGATGAACACCCAGGACTGAGGTGCCCTGTCCCTAACGAGCCCTCTAGTGATTCTCAGGGACTGTCCCCCTCTCCTTTCTGCTCCAGTTCTCCTTCCTGTCCCTCATACACACTGGCCATCTTGACTAATGAGCTTGCCATCTTCTTTCTCAAGGGAACCCCACTCGTTCTTCCTATTTACATGTCACATCCTCAGGGAAGCTTTCCCCAGCCACACACTCACTAGGACAGATGCCCTCATTGTGTGACCCCGGGGGGCCACTGATTTTCCTTCATGCACCCCACTCAGTTGCAGTTTTAGCACAACTTCTGGGATTATTTGAGTGACATGTCTCTCCATTGCAACATGAAGGCAAAGACTATCTTAGTGCCCCGGAATTCCCCACCACCTAGTGCCTTGTGTGTAGAAGATGCCTAATAAAATTTGTAGAATTAATGACTGACTGTCAGGGGCCTGGAATGGGAAAGTAGCCTGAGCAGAACTTTGAGGCTAGAATAGAGAAGACAGAATGACAGGTGACAGGAATTCCTGAATAAATGGCTTGGAGATTGGATTCCCTAAAAAGTGTCAGGAAATCAGAGAAGAGCCCATAGCTTTAGCGGTGTATGGACCTAGAAAGGAGGCAAGTTTACGTAGAAAGTTTCCAGCACCACCACCTGCAATAACATGGGAGTCTTGCTGCTCCTACTAAAATGTGAGAGAAGCGAAAGAAGCCAAAAGAAGGATCGTTAAATAAAAAGTAACCAGAACTGCTGATTTTGAAAATTCCCAGCCTCTATAGATGTCAAATGATGCTACAATTAACAAACAGTTTCCAGGGAAAGATGGAATGCAGGGCCATGCTAGGAAAAGATGGTCTCGAAGCCATGGGGGTGGCTATAAAATTCCTTGTTAAGTCTTCAAACAGATCAAATGTGGTGCTACAGAGTGTTCCATTAAACAATAGGACTTCCAAGAAACTTGACGTTGCCATTCAGCAGAAGCCCAAAGTAGAGAAAAGCTTATCTCGAAGACATACCCATGGATCTGCCAGTTGGCTAAAGGAATAAAACTCAATAGGATTCACAGAGGACACACAAAGTTTTCTTTCTTTCTTTTTTTTAAATGTTTATTTATTTTTGAGAAAGAGAGAGAGGAGAAAGAGAAAAAGCGAGAGAATAAGCGGGGGAGGGGCAGAGAGAGGGGAAGACACAGAATCTGAAACAGACTCCAGGATCTGAGCTGTCAGCACAGAGCCCGACGCGGGCCTCGAACTCACAGACTGTGAGGTTAGGACCTGAGTTGAAGTCTGGCACTTAACCGACTGAGCCACCCAGGTGCCCTGTGGACACACAAAGTTTTCAAAATAATTACATTGACAAAGCAGTGTCAGCTTGGACTGAAATAGAGATAATACTACATGAAAAGAGACTTCTGGAACGCTCTCCTCTCGAATTCTACTGGTGAGAAGCAGCCAGAGAAAGCACACAGACGCAAACACAGGTTATATCTCATGGAAACTTAAGGACAACTTGGAGGGGTGCCTACGTGGCTAGGTTGTTTGAGCGTCTACTTCGGCTCAGGTCGTGATCTCACAATTCATGAGTCTGAGCATTGGGCTCACTGCAGTCAGTACAGAGCCTGCTTCAGATTTTCTGTCCCCCTCTCTCTGCTCCTCTCCCGTTCATGCTCTGGCTCTCTCTCTCTCAAAACTTAATAAACATTAAAAAGAAAACAAAACAACAAAAAAACAAGGACAACTTGGAAAGCAGACTGAAGAGTTCAAAGGGTAGAACCAAGAGAATCACGTTCAGACCAAAGTCGGCTTGAGTGCCAACCAAGGAACTTCCAACATTTGCCCAGCGGGGGTTCAGAAGTGTGTGGCCTGGAGATGCCTGTGTGTCTCCCATCCCCACCCCCTTTGAACCAGGATGTCTGTGGTGGTCATGCTGTGCCTGTCCCGCCATTATATGTTGGGTGTGGGTAGGGGGGAAGGGGCACAGAGAGCTTGTCCCCTGAATCCACAATTCTTCGGATAGAGAGTGACTGTATTCAAGATGCTCTGTGAAAGGCAATATGCCCAAGCAGCCTCCTCCACCTCAGGACTTGGTTTAGACACAGAGTCTGGGCTCTGCACTAATTCCGTAGTAGGATAGGACTTTGGGTAGGGGATGTTTGGAAGGGTGAATATGTTTTGCTAACGGGAGGTCTGTATATAATCTCTGGCCACCAGGTGGACTGTGATAGTTTAAAACCTCTTTGACACTCCTGGCATTCAAAAGGCGGAGTGCCATTCCATGAGCCTGGACTGTGGGCTGGGCCCAATGACTTGCTTCTAACAAATGAAATACCCGGGAGTATGGAGGTGATAGCACGTGACTTCCAAATCTATCCCTTCAGAGACTAGAGAGAGAGGTGGGGCCTGAGTTCCGAGAGGCAAAGCCAGCTCTTCTGTACCCTTGAAGGTTGATACTCTCTGAATGAGTCGTACTGAGCCCACCTCTGGCAGTTCTGTTCACTGTACCAAGAATGCCCCTTCACTTCATCTCTGAGCCCCCACTTAAGCTTCGGGGATTGGTCCGTGCATTGTCTCTTTTGGGAAGCCCTCCCCAGCCCTCATCCTTTGGGAATTCGCATAGCCCAGATCTCACTCTAAAATAACTTCTCTTGTGTTTGTCTCTTTGTCTCTCTCTTTCAATTGTAAGACTCCTGAGGGCAGGAACAAGGTCTACTTCATCTGTGTACCCCAAAGCCTTCCGCAGGACCTCACTCGAAAAAGGCACCAGGGAATGAGTGGGTCCGCAGAGAGAGATCCTCTGCCTGAACTTTCTGCAGTTCCCTCAGCGTCTCAGAAGATACTGGGTGCTTGCAAGTCCTATGCTGTGGGTAAGGGGATGGAGCTACTGCTCCAATCCAGGGGCAGTTTAGATGAGTCTGGCTCAGAGCCACATAGATAGGTGGTGACCAGATAGATAAAGAGATGGATTCTCTTTCTGTTGTGTAACGATGATTCAGCTTATCTTCTGGGAACTCAATAACTGAGGGTTGTGTGTATGTTACAAAGGAAACATTAACTTGCCAAGGTCTATGGCCTTTTGGAAATCGAAGCAGGCAGGGTTTATGGCCTGAATTTTCTTTTCAAATCTGGGCAAGTTCTGCCCTTTGCTGAACTACTGAGGCCTCTCATTCAGAGGCAAAGTAAGACCACTCCACATTTCTCTTAGAACTTGTGAATTGCTCGTGGTGTCACTTGATGTCTGACCCATTAGAATCTCTTCCCGGTGGGAGCTAAGAACCCAGGAGGGTTTTCCTCAATATTCCTTCTTAAAGTGGGCAGCTTGTGACTTTACGTATTGTCTTGGTCTGGTCCAGCTGCTATAACACGAGCCACAGACCAGATGGCTTATAAACAACAGAGATTTATTTCTCACAGTTCTGGAGGTTGGAAGTCCAAGATTATGCCAGCATGATCAGGTGAAGGCCCTCTTTGGGGGACTTCTTGCTGTGTCCTCACACGGTGGAAGGGCCAGAGAGCTCTGTGGAGTCTCTTTCCTAAAGGCACTAGTCCCCTGCATGAGGGCTCCACCTTCATTATCTGATCACTCCCAAAGCCCCCCGCCTCCTAATCCTATCACCTTTGGGGGTTAGGATTTCAACATATGAATTGGGGGAGACACAAACATTCACACCATAGCAAAAATATATAGAGGCAAAAATATGAGTTAGCCTTAATGCCACTCCAGGGCTTGAACCAGGGCCCATCTGAGGACCCAGAATT